AGTGAAAAATTTAAAGGGGTCTGAATACTTTCCGTACCCACTGTATAACTAACACAGTGTAGTCTAACAGTCAAATCCACAATCACGACAGTTGTAGATATTATTTTGTTATGGATCTGTTTTAATATACCCTAATGGATATACAGGGGTAGACAAAACAGGTTCTCAGTGTAACACGATACAACAGCAACACAACCTGTGTCTAAAATGACCATCACGTTGACGCAATACCTCTCTAAAACAGCTGGGTATACCAAATAAACATGCTTATAAATGAATTAGTGATAATTAGTGAATGATCCCAACAAAGTGGTAGTTGTTTCTCTTTCCATTTTGATAGTGAGCAATGCTATTTAACTATAGTATCGATTAACAGTAGCATTGTGTAATGTGGATAATAATTGATTGTAAATACATATTCTTTATGTTGCTCTATATTTGGACCATGAGCCTGACATGAAACGTAGCTATTACGAGGGAGACAGAAGGAAAGGAAAACAACAAAAGAGGATCTAATAAAAGGTACTTTTTACACGTCATGCTTGTTTTCACGAACGTTACTCGTGTTAGCTAAATGTTTCCTCAGATCAGGGGAGGTTGAACCACGAACTACCGCTATGTGACCACCACAGGTATATTTTTGGTTGACACGAGTATTAGTGAATTGATGCTTATATATTAGCAACTACCTGTTACCCTGTTTATGATGAAGGCGACACGGTTTCATACCTGTGAGGCCCTTCTGACTTTAGCTAGCGTTACTTAACCTCGCACAAGAGAGCCTGGCTAATGCTAACATGCTAACTCTATACTGTTTTTCTCACGAGTATCACATTAAGTACACGTGACACTGGTGTAAATAAAACATGTAGTCACAGTTAATATTTTCCCAACCTTGTATGAAACAGTAGTTTGATCCTCACAACCTCAGTTCACAGAGACTCTTCCAGAAGCTTCTCTTCCAACCCGCCTCTACAAAAAAAATCTGATTCAGTGACGTCAGTTTCCTGCGACGAGGCGACTCATCAAAACAAAGCGTGGGGCTGCAACAGTTTTGCAACTCTGTAAAAAAAATAAAAAATAGCTAGCTAACATAACATGATAAAATGCCAATATGCTGGCTTATCAGTGAGGCGGATCGTCATAAACCCATCCGACTGCCACACCAACAGACAGTTGTCCTGGGTCGAGGTCCGGAGACGACTATTAAAGACAAAAAATGCTCTCGACAGCAAGGTAATATAACAACATAAAATATTTTTTGATTTTAGGGAATTAATACGTTGCATTGCAACTATAGAATCCTCTGTTTAGAAAAATGGATTAATACCGTATCTGTCTTTAGGCGATACAATTTGAATTGGTCTAAATTACTTATTCCCCTTATAGTTTATTTTGTTGTGTAGAATATTGTTTACATAATTGTCATGGACTATATATATATATATATATATATCTATATATATTTTTCATGTCTCAATAGTTTTAAAAACAAACTTTAATCTGTGCAAATGTTATCCCCTCTCAACCAGTTGAATTGAAAGCAGAGTGCAACAAAGGTTATGTCAAAGTTAAACAGGTAAGGAACATTGATTTTATAAGAGTGGAACTCACAACACATTAGAAAGAAGTTGTTCTGCTGAGTTTTGTTAAATACTTAAAATACAATTTCTTGTATTGTGTCTCATTTCCCTTCTTTGTTTCAAAGCTGGGCTTGAATCCCACCTCCGTAGATTCTGCGGTGGTGGGGAAGGACAATGAGGTCAAAATGAAGGCTGGACAGCAGCTTCATATTGTCAACCAGCTCTACCCATACACTGTACAGTTCAAGGAGGATCCCACCGGGGACCACGGCGGCACCAAAAGACCACGAGAGCCGTCTTCAGAGGACCCAGAGAGCCGCAGAGAGGATCCGAGTGTGAAAGCAGCCAAACAGACACAAAAGCTCTCTGTGTCAGTCAGCCACGGAGAAGCCACAAACACCAGTGTAAGAGAAGGAAGAAAGTGTGTGCACACTTCTGTCAAATATAGTTTTCAAGATGTTCACATGTTTTTCTATTATATGGATTTTCTATAAAGCCAGTATGTTGCATTACATATTTTACCTTTAATTTGTTGTAGGAAGGTTTTGGGCATTGGAGCCAAGGTCTGAAGACCTCAATGCAAGACCCAAAGATGCAGGTAGCTGTTTACAGTTAGTGTGATGCTAAGTGATCTGGATCGCAGCTGGATTTGTTACTGATAAAAAAAACATTGTCTGCTTTTCTCTAGGTATACAAGGATGACAAGGTAGTGGTTATCAAAGATAAATACCCCAAAGCTCGCTACCACTGGCTGGTCCTCCCGTGGCAGACCATTTCCAGCCTGAAGGCCTTAAGTGAGGAGCACTGCGACCTGGTGAAACACATGCAGCAAGTAGCTGACCAGATGGTTCAGCAGTGCCCAGATGCTAGCTCGCTACGTTTCCGTACAGGGTACCATGCCATCCCCAGTATGAGGTAAGTAATCACTGTTTGAATGGTGCCGTTAAATTGAAAGACCGTTTTGGTGTTTCAGCCTTTAATGCAAACACTGTATATTTTACACTACTGTCGGCTATTTTCTATAGGTTTTTAAATCGATTAACGTATTTCCCCTCATCATAGACACCAACTGATTTCAGTTAAACCTGGTACAGTACAGTTTATCTGTAACAAGAAGCTGCCGTTAATTGAAACTTAAGCATTCATCATTTTCCACCTTTCACTTACATCTTTACCTTTCTCGTATTCATTTCTGTCTTTTCCTTTTTACACGGTTTCTGTCCTTTTTTAAATTTGTGTTACAATGTTTTATTCCCTGCTTTGTGTATGAAATGTGCTTTACCAATACACTTGCCTCTCTCTTACTGACATAGTAGCATACAGCCAAAGCAAATCACATACTGAAGCATTAGAGGCAATTTAAAAAGAGTTTCTTATTTCTATTCAGAGCTCAACTCCTCTTTATCCGTTTTTGTGTAGTGTGTTGTGAGACTTTGATCTTTACACTTTACTGCCACTAAGTGGGAGGAGTTATAAGCTTAATGAAAAAGAGAGAGAAAATACAGTGATTGGGAAAAAACATTCCATTAATACTTTTCTTTCTTGATTGGAAACATAACCTGAAAGAAAATGCCACAAAAGTGCTCAAAGTATGTTGTGCAACATCGTAAGATTGCTTTGGCTCACATACTTTCGACTGAATTTAGAGGCCTTGCATTGATGGTGTGCATATAAGCCAATCACCCAAATACATCAGTCTAAAAGACTTTGAAAAAAGGTATTGAAAAACGTATTAAAAGCATTGGTATGGTGTTTTTTGGAGGAGGAGGATCAGCACGTAATCAATGTAGACACGTCAACATATAACACATTTTGTCTAAATTCTCTTTTACAGTCATGTACACCTCCATGTGATCAGCCAAGACTTCGACTCTCCTTGTTTAAAGAACAAAAAGCACTGGAACTCATTTACGACTGACTATTTCATGGAGTCTCGCGGTGAGAACAAATTACATGTTGTTCACTTTATGTCCCACATTGTGGCCATTACTGCACAGTGTTGAAACAATTTTTTTTGACCCTTTTTGTCATCTGCAGATGTCATTCAGATGCTTGAAACAAATGGAAGAGTCAATGTGAAAGAAGGAACCAGCGAGTTGTTAAAACTACCTCTCCGCTGTCACATGTGTCGCAAAGATATTCCCACTATACCAGCTCTGAAGGAGCACCTAAAGTCTCACTTTCGCAGCTAAGAAGGTGACTGCAAAGGGAATACATGCCTCAGATGTTTCTACATAGGACTGAAGTGTGTTGGGTACTATTTTTGCCTGGCAATTCTGATTCATTGTTTAAAAAAAAAAAGTCATTATGTGGCGGGAACACAATGTCATGGCTGCAGTTGCATTTTCAACTTGTTATTTTTTCAGTAGGTTTAAGAAGAGGGTCATTGTGAAGATGCATTTAATTTATGTGGGTTTTCATCAGTTTTTTTCCAAATTTCTGGACTGGGAAATCCCATATTATTGCAAATATTATTCCCACAGTCCACATGTTAAAATGTTTTATTAAATGTTTTCTAAAAACTGAATACTGGATTCTTGAATTTTAAATTACCCTTCCCTGATAGCGCAACCCCTGTGTTTGCTTAGAGTTTGACTTTTTGGGGAGCTCTGTCATGTAGCTAGACTACTGCATTGATATAACATTTTTAAAATTACACTTTGTTTGCATGTGTACAGAAAAGACAATGAACATGCTTTCAGCCAACAGTACACCCAGTCTAGCTGTCTTGGTGGGAAACAGACTGTTTTGTGTGTCACAATAAGTTAAACATCAATGAGGGTTTGCAGGGTTTTTCAGAGCTATGACACTCCAGCTTGATGTGTTGATTTTGTCGCCATCAAGTGTCAGCATTTATATAGGCAGGGCTATACGCAACTAAAAGCTTTGAGGTTTGACCTTCTATATCCTAATGCTGCGTGAAGAATGAAATTACGTTGTCATATTAGATTATTTAGTTTTACTATAAAAAAAATGTCACCTGAAAAAAAAAAAAAAAGAAAAGGTCAGTGGCCAGTACGGGGATCGAACCCGCGACCTTGGCGTTATTAGCACCACGCTCTAACCAACTGAGCTAACCGGCCATGGTGCAAACGGGAAAATAAAAGAATATCAACCTAATCTCCAGATTATGCGTATCAATGCTCTTTCAACATTTTAGAGAGATAGATATATACTTTATTCATCCCCAGAGGGAAATTTGTATATTAAGAGCAAAGAGTAACAGAGTAAAAATATATTTTAAGGCTCAATAATAGTAGCACCTTCGTGGTGCAACTAACATAGCTTTATTAGCTAGATAACGTTAATCGTAAACTACAACAATGTAACGTTAGCATTTGGTGGAAAAATATTTTTTTTTATTTAAAAGAGCTAAATATGGCCACAGTTTGTCTCATACAAATCATATTTTAGAGGCTGTTCTTAACCTGCAGAATGACGTAGAATACATGCAGTGGGGTATAACGTTATATATTTCCTCTATTATAGTTAGAAAATTTGATATACTCAGAACTTAAAAGCAAAGTTTCAGTGCATTAATAATTTTGTTTCCAAAACTGCCCTTATCTGATTGATAAGCGTATATAAAAACATGCAAGGACCCATATCATGGTTATTATTTGTTTATTATCATCAAAACAGTCAAAGTAAATGCTTCGGCTACATCATCGTCACAATAGTAATCACATATACAAAAATCAATCAGTTGCAGTTAAAATTGTAATGCCAAAATCAACATTCAGAAGCGATGGGCAAGAGTAAAATGCGTCCTCCTGAAGGCTTCAGGCAGGTCATTTAATGGTACAGTAGTTCGTAGTGGAAAAATATAGAGCTGCACAACTGCATGTCATCATCTCCTTAGACTTAACTCCCTTTCATCCTCATCTGGCACCATCAGAGAGTCCACTGAGTAATGAGCATCGTCTCCTATATCCTGGAACAAATACTCTTCACTCTCACAGCTCTGGGTTCCATTCACACAGTCTCTGGTTTTGATTTGCCCTAGCTCGGCGCTGTCACTGGCATTACTATCCTCCTCGCTCTTGCTGGCATCACTGCTGTCACTGCTGTCACTGGTCTCACTGGTCTCACTGGTCTCACTGCTGGTGCTCTCACTGCTGTCATTGGTGATGACAATAGTACTTTCGCTGGTGTCTGCACTGTCGCTGGCGGTGTCACTGTTGTCAGTGGGATTCTCCACCAGCGGTAGGTTTGTGTTGGTCTCCTGTCTGGCGTTGGTGCTAGTGGAGGTATGAGTGGGCTGTTTCTCAGTCAGTTGATCTGATTGACCCTTTACCTCTGTGCTGCTATTGTCCTCTGCTCTCAGGAATTGGGTGATGCTTGCGAACACTTGAACCCAACTCTGATTTAGGGAATGGGCAGATCATAGTGTTACTCAACTTGAATCAGCAAAATCAAGACATTGTGTAAAATAAAAAATGTTACACACACCTTTCGAATGTTTTCCTCACTGCCCATGCTATTATCTCTGGTTTCACCCATGGAGTCTGTCTGTGGAAATACAGTGGATGTGAGCTAAACGGAGACCAGAAGGATGAAGTGCCATACAATAAAAATTGACCAACATACTAGGTTTGACAAAATACTTGATTTAGTTAGTCTTACCACATCATCCTCATCCGATAGACTGTTACTCTCCTCTGAAGTCTGTTTGTGGAACAGAAACATACAGTTTTAGGAAATAATGCGTTTATTTCCAAAATGGAGAATGCCGTGTTTCTTCTGACACTTCGTTTATTATAACAGTTATACTACATCCACAACTTTTAATATATTTAATATGATGAATATCAGGATATAAACCCATCAATAACATGCTTAATGTAGTTTAGTGACAACAATAAGGTAAAAACAAAAGTGATAATACAACCCACCTTGTCCTCTGATGTGGATTCTGATGATTCTGATTCTGATTCAGACTCTGAACTCTGACTCTGAAAAGATATCCAGTATACAAGGTGAATTCAGACACATTTACAGAATGTCTTGAGTAATCTAAATGTTTAGATCCCAAGCAGAAGATTGACAAATCAAAATAACTTACTTGACTTGAGGTATTTTCTTCAGAGCTCTGCAACAGAAATAGGAATACACCCATTAAGGTTAAAATCAGCACGCAAAAGCGATGTACAAAGTCGTCGGCATCCGAAAAAAAAGAATTTTCCTCTTTACTGTAACAAATGTATGCATTACCTGAAGCTCTGAGGTGCCATTTTCCAGAGATTGTGAAACAGACAAACTTTCAGTCTGGAAAAGAAAAACACATTAACCGCATGCCACAATATATTTAATTATACCTTATAACTGCAACACCAGCAATCACCACAATCAAGCTATTGCTGCAGATGGGTCCAGACATACAGTATAGTAAACAATAGTGTCTGAAAGGGGAATTGTCCTGAGGTCTGGACAATTTTCAAGTAACCGCACCTATTGTTAGGTTTTCCGCTGACTGTGTGAGAGGAGCACAACCGTCAAATGATGAATGTGTAAACAGTGTTGAGTTCCTGCGCTGGAACACCGAGAGTTAAATGCTTTAAGAGGGGACTGATTTCAGATAGCACCCACCGAGTTTGAGTCAAGCTCATTTGATTCCAAAATGGCATTGAAGGAAATCTTTTGGAGAAAAAGAAATGACAGGTCATATTTAACAGGATAGTAGTTTCTTGATGTGCAGAAGATGGATCTATTTATGAAGTGACGTGACTTACACCCTCTAACATGCTTCTTAAAACTACTGAGCCTTCCTGCTTTGCTGGCATATAGACATTCTTACTGTGGGAGAAAAATGCTCACACTGAAACTTGTGCTATTATGTTTGCAACTTGAAGAGTCAATGACAGTATTAATTAAATGTATGAAAATGCACAACACAGAACCTGATGCTGTTCAAGTTGGAAACTCTACTTTCTTGTTAATTTGACATGATGTACAATAAGCATATTATATGAATGTAGAAGTATCTCTAGTAGCATGCAGGTATTTCAGAAAATGTGCTAAATGTGTGTTAAATTGCATGTTTACATTGAAAAGCCAAGTCTTCACTGTTGTTTTTCATACTTACTGGGTTGGCAAAAACTGCTCCCGTCAGGCAAAACATTATTATATTGACCATCATTCTGTAACAGACATACAGCATGTGATTAATATTGTTACTGATTTGATTTAATTCAATTTAAAATACTCTTACTGTATGCATTCCTCAAGGGAAATTTGTGGTAAACTTGCAATCATAAAAACACAAAATCACAAAAAACTTATTAGAGTTAAGAGCATCTCTGTTGCTTTTGCACTTAAACTGCAGAAACAGAAACTTGTTTAACTAAAAATACAATTAAACTTTGGAATAATTTCAACCAATAGTGACAAATCAGCAACAGTTATCATGTAGTTAGGTTATAATGTCAATATTTTACCTTTTTGTCCGTTATATTCAGAGCTGGTGTGAGAAATGTCCTGTTCAGTCTATGTAGCAGCAAACAGGAGTGCCTATACTGAGCCACGTATGGAAAGCTGGCGGTTGAGGCAGTAAAAGCACGCTGTGTGGATATGCTGTAGAATGCTCCAAGGACAACGGCATATAAGTAACCTTAATTAAAACGATTGCATCACTTCCTTCCGTTTGTCTCTCAACTGTTGGCAAGCGTAAGTGTACTTGTTTCCGGAGAGCAGGCTCAAAACAACATTCACACTAGCACAATTATGGGCACACACACACACACACACACACACACACACACACACACACACACACCAGAAATACAGACACACACACACACACACACACAACACACACACACACACACACCAGAAATACACACACACAATTGTTTCATTCAGCCACTGCATGTCCTCCACCCTCTCTCAAGTCTTCAGTGAAATATAGTTTAGCATACTTAACCATAGGGTTTGTGGCCGGTTGAGAAAACAAGCTCACCCACTCAGAGGGGAAAGGAGGGCCAGACGGGGTCACGCTCGTTTCCGGTGAAGAGGATGTTTTTTATTTTCTTTACTAGTCTACCAACAGTTAAATAATAAAATCATTAGCTATAAGGAGCAGGTGAGAGGTAGTGCTTTGCTCAAGGGTATAGATTCAAAATGCTTTAAAAAAAGACAACAATGTAAACATTAGGCTAAATACACTAATGTTACTTTTTATTGTAAAAACAACCATGTTTTATAACCCATTGTCCTCATGATGTTATTGTAAATGTGTCTTGTTCTTGGAAATAGGGCAAGCACAGTAGAAAGCCTAAATAAAGACTTGTATATTTCCTCCCTGATGCTCATAATTGTTTCCTGGATATCCATATATGGTCAGGCCTAAAATAAAATTACAGAATTCCTTGTTTAACCTCACTCTGGATTTCAACCGTGCAACAGAAACATGTAATTAGACTGGATGTTCACCAGTCTGGATCTGTTTGCTAAAAAGCCGCACAGCTACCAGTTGTTGTAAGGTCCTGCTTTAGAAAAGGGGAGGAGTGGGGAGAGGATGATTGGCGCTTGTTGTGGCACACAAACCAGCAGTCAACAGTGTCTGCCCTCAGCCCTCAGGATACTTGTTTTTACGATGTATTGACCCTTTCAGCCAGGCATCTAGGTTATCGATTTTTTTATATGACTGGAGATTCACAGAAGATCAGACGAGTAACAGAGCAGAGATACTAAAATCTGAAAGTGATGCAGGTTTCTGTTGCTCCCTGGTGTTTAATGAGCAGCAGCTGGGCCAATTATGGCTCATTAGTTTACTTAAGCTACTACTTCAAGGACTGAATAAAGTGTCTCGCTCTCAGCAGTGGTTGAATGTTGCTAAGTATAACAACTCAATAGGATTTTGAGGCTACGTTATACTTCTACTCCACAATATTTCATCGGAAAACTATGTAATTCTTACTCCACTACTTTTATTTGCTTTAGTTCCGCGTTGCTTTGCAGATTCATAAGATTTAAAGGTGCAGTGTGTAGGGATTTGAGGCATCTAGCGTTGAGGTTGCAACCAACTGAAACTTCTCCCATGTGCCAAGCGTGTAGGAGAACTACGGTGACTGGCGCGAAAACATGCCAGCGTGAATGGCCCTCTAGAGCCAGTGTTTTGTTTGTCCGTTCTGTGCTACTGTAGGAACATGGCGACCGGCTCTGTGAAAAGGCCCGGCTCTGTAGATACAAATGGCTCAGGTCTAAGATAACACAACTATTTTATTTATTATACACTGAAAAAAACATGCATTATGTTGCTCTATATCAAGTGTAAACATGTAAATTGGATGACGTTTGTCACAAAAAGCAAATTTCCTTTTGTCAATGGTCAAAGGTGGCGCTTTTGACTATGAATAAAAAATTGCTCGTTGATATCCTCAGACCATGACTTTTATCAAGCATGGCAAGTTTGGGACGGATTTGAGCAAGTCCAGTGGAGTTACCTCAGCTTGTTGTTCAATGGGGAGTCACGTAAATTGGCCGTCACGCCACGGCTACACCATTCCATCAAACGTAAAGCTTTTGATAACTTATAATCACAAAGGACTTTAGAATGTACTCACATGGAGTGTGGATCTGAGAAATGACCTAGGAGATGTTCATTAAAGAAAAATGTAATTCAAACGAAAAGGGGGATTTCTGGAAGTATTTACAGTTGAGGAGCAGCATAGCGTCAGTGTTTGGACTGAAAAGAGAAGAGACGGAAGAGAATACAATTCAACAGTTTCTAAGTGCTTCCCGTACTTTACACGTGGCCTCAAAATTTTATAGGAAAATGTCAAATATTCAAACTACAATGTGCGAAGGCCTGAGATTGATATGGCAAAAGGATCTTGGCAATGAGATCATGGAAGATGTATGGCAAGAATTAATATCGAACGTGGGCTCCAAGGGATGCAAGAAGCAAGTTTATCCATTACAGAATGTACATAGGTATTACTTTACACCCCTGGGCTTAATGCAGGATAGCAAATGTTGGAAATGGAACAAAGAAATGGACACTTTTCTACAAGCTCTGTGGGGGTGTTACAAGGTGATGCCTTTTTGGAAGGTGGTACTGAAGAATGTAAAAGGGCTCAAACGGCCTTTACCAGAATCATAATTATGTTAACTCGGAAAAAAATCGCTTGTTTTGCTGTCTGACAGGCTTAGTTTTTGTATCTGCGTATAGTGGTGGTGGGTTTGAACGAATACAAATTTAAATGCAAAAAGAAAAGTAAGCTGCTGTTCCAATTGCAGAATGACTGTACTGCATCGTCCCGTCCTTGGGAGTCTGGACTTCCAAGTCCAAACTCCAAAGTCCACACTCCCAAGTACACAAGTCTGTACTTGGCGTACTTACTTGGTATTGAGAAAGGCCCAATGTCTCGTGACTCTCGTTCCGAAAGTAAACAGCCCTGACGTTGTCGGTGCTCAGGCCCTAATTATATAATATTATTCAGAAATGGGTTGCTCTGCACAATGAGTACATTTAGCTTCTAATACTTCTGTTTTAATTAAGTAAAAATTTTGAATGCAGCACTTTTACTTGTAACAAAGTATTTCTACACTGTTGTATTGGTTCTTTTACTAAAGTAAAAGATCTGACTACTTCATCCACCACTGGTTGAAAGGCATATTTCTTGAGGAGCTAATGATCTCAGACAAAGAACTATAATTGCTGTAACTAGTATGACAGATGCATTTATTATTTCTATAGGCTATATCATTACTTTGATGTGAATAGCAGTTCAGAAAGAAGTTCCCAAAGTTATCTTGGTCATGTCACATGAGCTTCATCAGCAGAGTTTGCAGGTGTCACAAAACGGAGTTCCCAGAATAATATGTACATTTTAACATCACATTACCATTACAGCCTTTCCATTGATGTGAAAGTGTTTTGTCAAATGAGTAGTAGTGTATTATAATGAAAGATTGGTTCAAAAGACATATCTTACAACTCCTACAACTCTTCCTTCATGTCATGGGCAGTGGCTGAAGATACTTGTTAATAGTAACAAATATTTATCATGTTGTTAATCATCATCTCACTCATCATATTAAAAATATGAACATGTGTCATATTAGTGGCGTCAGGATCACAGTGAAAGAGTGACATCTAGTGACCAAAATGATGTTATTTCTGTCCTGAAACTATCTTTCATCCGACAGGTTTCACAGGTTTAGTTTTACTCTGTCATAAACAAACTACACGCAACACACTTATTAAAACATTCACAACTTAACAAAAAAAGAAATAGCCATGTCAGTAGTTTGACATGTTTAATTGTAAATGCTGCCGGATGGGTATTGCACAATAACCAATACATAGTACACAGATTATTTCCCCCATGGACTCTCAGGTACACTATGTGGTTGCAGTAGCTTGTGCCCTTCTGTATGCTGAACTGTTAACCTTCTCTGTTATTTCTTTGGATGTTTCTGACCAAAAGAGCGGATCCCTCGCTCTCCTCCTGTAGTTTTCAATCCCAAAGTGACTCTCATGAATGCAATCAAGCATGTCCTGTATCAGTTTGTGGAACAATGATCTGGTTTACCAGCTCTGTATTTCACATCTAAATATAGACAGTGCAGGCAGTGTGGCTGCACTGGGAACGTGGTGTGAGGTGTGTGTGTGTGTGTGTGTGTGGGCGCTTCAAAACTAGTAAGTACCTAATACATCTTTTATGATATTTAATTGTTTATTGTAAAATATCGTGATAGGAAATACAGTAAAAACCTGTTTGCAGTAATAATTATAGTTAATAGTGTATAGTCTATGTTATAGACTATACTATACACTATGGTATAGGCTATATTTAGCATAGTAAGTTACAGTATTGTGCTATAAAACACAATTTCAGTATCATACTGTCAAACACAATTACAATAGAGCAGTTATACTGTAAAGCACAATCATGGTAAAGGTGTTTTACTGTAAAACAGCAAAGGGACTGTAAACAGGTAATTAAAACAGTGTTAGTAATTTACCACCTAAATACAATAAAATATCTAACAGTGTGGAATAAAAAAAAGTCTCTCTTTCTCAAGTCAAGAAATAATATATAAATTAAGTGTAACTACAATTCACCCACAACATCCACTTATGGGGTGATTCTTTTGCAGTTTTTTGACTCTAAAGTTTTGCCTTTTTTCCTGACTTTCTTTTTGGGAAACAAAGCACCCACATGAAGTGCAGTGTTGGATCTCTTTCGCTCCCTCTCTCATTATCGCTGTAGCTCAAAGACCCTCCCAAAGTTTAGAAAAAGTGTTGGCACCATCGACCCAGAAAGAAATCTGTGTGTGCAGCATGCCAGTCTGTGTAGACAGTGTGAGCGCTGTCTCGAATACAGAAGGACACCTTCACAGGTTCAACACAGACAAAGCTTGTCATTTCTCTTGCAACTGCCAGCCTCAGGTAAGATCCTAATAACTGAGACTTTTCAATTGCTTTGAAAGGTAATTTGTTAATGATCAAATAGAAATGTGTGTGACATCGTGTTGACTAACTAGTTTACAATCAAACTTGTTGTGTGTTGTATGCAGCAACTACTAGCGGGGTTATGTTGTAGCCTCTTTTGTGATAGCCAAAACTTTACTTTGATGTTGATGTTGACATTGATGCCTTAATTATTTTTGTACAAATCAAGAGTTTTTGACTATTAACAGTCTATCTACACTGTAATGTACTAATATACTGGAGGTAATATAGACACATTTACATGTTGCTTACTCATGGCTGTGCATAATCTATATACCAACATATATTTTATAGTATAGTACAATATCCTCAAATAGACTAAATATTCCTTTATTGAATAGCGTGAGAAATACATTTACGACTACCATGTAATATGTGTGTTATTAGAGATGAAAAGTTAATGTGTGTCATCACAACAGCACTGTGGAGATAACTTTCCCCTTTGGGACAATGAAGTATAAAACCCTAACATTGCCTCGATATTGAAAAGATCAAACCCCTCAACCCCCCTCCCCCCACCTGTCTACACCCGTCTACACCTATTTGGTGTTTTGTGGGCCGAACCACAGAGCTATTGTTCCCCTGGACAGGCCCAGTAGTGTCTGTTTTGTTTCCGTCCACAGAGACAAAATGTTTGTGGACTTAGTCAACTTTTTCCAGTCTGGTTGCTTCTGATGTTTACTTTAGCTCTCAATTGAAAGAGTTGCCAAGTTCATGTCTGTGTTGTGAGAAGTCAGATTATACTGCAATGATTGTTAATAGTGTTTTTATCCAAATTCCAACCTTGCTGTGATTCACAATAATTTAAACGTGTAATTCAAATTTGTTTTGATTTTTGTCCCATGTTAAAAATCTTGCTTTCAATGTTTCAGGTATGAGGGCCTGCTTAGTATTCCTTTGCTTACTGGCAGCAACATTTGCCCTGTCTGTGAGTAATGCTTTTTTTTTTACATTAAACTTTGCCATGACAGATGTGATGTTAGATTTGTTTAATGCATTATGAATTAATCCCTATTACATCTAGGTAAAGAGTAAACATCATGGAAAACATCATGGATTGCATAAGACTTCACATGAAGCCAAAGAAAAGGTAGAGCAGGAGTCTAAAAGGATTTTAAAAAAATGTACGTGACGATGATTTCATGTCGTAAAATCGGAATTTTTTCATTTCTCCTGACTAAGGACATTATCACAGAGAAGGCCAATGAGCCACAGATTTTACCCACTCTAGTCACGTTTGAGGCCAGCAGCCAGGAGCAGGAAGATGAAGAACTGAGCTCCCAAGACAATGCTAATGCCAACAAGGAGGAGGGAGAGTTTGAGGAGACTGAAGAGAGCGACAAAAGGACTGCAGTCCTGCTAAGTGAGGAGGAGTTGGTAGACCTCTTGAAGAAAGAAGCAGAAGAAGAGCAGGAAGCAGAAGAAAGAGTGCTAGAGAAAGAAGAAGAAGTGGAGACGGACAAAGGCAAGGTGGAGCCTGGTGAGGCTGTGGAGGACGACAAAGCTGAGGTGAAGGAGAGGAAGTTGGACGACAAATTAGAAATTGAGGTGACAGATGAGGAAGAAGAAGTAAAGGATGAGAGTGTAGTGGATACTGAAATGCTGGAGAAAGGTGAAGATGAGGTGGAAAATATGTCACTCAAGGAAAAGGAGAAAAAGTCTGTTGTAAAAATAGCAGACAGAGAGGAGCAAGGTTCATTGCTGGAGGAAACAGATGGAAGCACAGAGTCAGAGATCCCCGTTGATCTTGATTATGCTGCTGATAGTGGCATCTTACAACCTCTACAGATTGTATCTGCTAAAGTAAAACCCAAAACAGATATTAAAGACAGGGAAACCCTTCAGAAAGGACTGCCCACCATTGCAGATGACTATGAACAAGACACACAAAACACTGAGGCAGTGGACAGTGAGGAAGATTCACAGGCCAAATCCAAAGATGTTGATGAGAAAAAACCTGAAGCAAATGTGGACCCTCAAGAACCAAAGAGAAGTACAGGGTTTGAATCAGGTTCCGAACCGGCTGGAAAGGAGGAAGAGAAAAGTAAGAATAACAGCGGAAGTCCCACCAAGGGAAAAACAAGGAAGCAAAAGAAGAACAAGAGGGCGAGGAAACACTCCCCACAGACTGAGGGAACACAGTCTGAACCAGAACGGAGCCAACAGGTTCCTCAGGCGTCTGAGGGCAAAAGTATTGACAATACTGTCCAAAAGGCAAAGAGGAGAAGTGCAGGAAAATGGGTAATGCATGCACAATGTACATTCACTTTCTTTTCAATGGTTATGATCAATATTTTTGAGTTATAATGGATCACTTAACTACTTGCAAAAGGCCTCAACTGTTCACTCTCATCGCTCCTCATAGCAATGTTTGGCAGCAGCAGGCAGCTGTTGGCATATTTTAATATCTAAAAAAAATTGCATTTTCATGTTTCTTCTTTTTCAGGGTCCTTTAGTTGGAATGAATCCAGTCCAGATAAGAGCCACAGTGGATCTCTACCCCAGCTCCAGGCCCTCTCTTGGTGGAGGCGTACATCGCCCAGAAGCCCCTGCTGGTTGGTTAATTCAGCACTCACTGACTAATGCACTATCACAACAGTCTCACACGGGAATGTGCTGACTGGGTCATTCAGCTAAAACTTCCGCATGACTAGTGTTACTCTGCTTTATGGTCACTAGCAAAACACAGCTTGAGGTTTGTACAATGGAAATCAAGTTGAATTTGATCGCTGTACAAACTCAAATGACAGAGGAATGTCGGCGATGGTGTGTTGTGGTTATAGCTCATTGATTTCCAGTCATCACACTGCAAAATACGACCAAACCAGTCCTGAAAATTCAGACAAAGTGTGTAGGTCAAAGGTCATTGTGCTGCATGTTTTTTTTTATTCTTCTAGATCCATGTGACGACTTTCCCTGCAAACGTGGAAAGACGTGTAAGCTTGATGCGGACAATAAGCCGAGCTGCGTGTGTCAAGAGCCATCAGAATGTCCTCCCGGTGTGAATGAGTTTGATCACGTGAGTATGGATGATCTGTTGAAAGATAGACTGGAATGGTGTTCAACAGCGCATTTGATTGTTGCTCGTTGTTCAATTTCTGCAGGTATGTGGAACAAACAACAAAACATATGACACATCATGTGAACTCTTTGCTACTAAATGCAACCTGGAAGGCACTAAGAGAGGACACAGACTTCATCTGGACTACACTGGACCATGCAAACGTGAGAGTTAACCTCTGTACAGAGTATATGGTTTAAACATTTCCTGTTGGACTATTTCACCCTAATCGTTGTCTCTGTTTCTCTCTCAGTAATACCTCCATGTGTGGACACTGAGCTGGTCCAGTTCCCTCTACGAATGAGGGATTGGCTAAAAAATGTGCTGCTGCAGCTCTATGAACACGACTCCGTGTCTCCTGGCTTCCTTACACCTAAACAGCGTTTCAGAGTAAGATCCACTGCTCAAATGAATATATGGGATTCTGTTAAAGTACTATGATTTCTCTGCAGTTTGTTGTGTTACTTTTATCGAATCAATCAGTCCACTGGTGAATCAGAAAATCCCACAGCAGCTTTGGGACATGGAAAACTTAAATGTATGTTGTTTAACAGTTTATGTTTTAGGTAATCGCAGTCAATCAAACTTTGGTGTTCTGTATTCTGTAGGTGAAGAAAATCGATGAGAGTGAGAGGCGTCTTCATACTGGGGATCACACTATTGAGCTGCTCGCGCACGACTTTGAGAAGAACTACAACATGTACATCTACCCAGTGCACTGGCAGTTTGCACAACTGGACCAACACCCTTCTGACAGGTACATTTTATTCCTCTGTGCTTACGGTGAACTTTGATTTTTCCTCAACCTTTAGATTATATTCAAAATTGATCATAGTGAGATGTAAAGTTTCCAACGACAGGATTGGCTAATGTCAAATATTTAACAAATCCCCAGCTAGAACTGGGGAGGGTATATAATCAAACCCATTCATGAGTTTTATTATAATGCAAACATAATGTACTGTATGTGATGTAGACGCTCACAATGATTACAACTGGATGTTCATCTGTCCTTTGCAGAATCTTGTCCCACTCAGAGCTGGCCCCACTTCGAGTCCCTCTGGTGCCGATGGAGCACTGCACCTCCCGCTTCTTTCAAGAGTGCGACGCTGACAAGGACAAGCAGGTGTCCTTCAAAGAGTGGACTTTCTGTTTTGGTATCAAGAATGGTAAGAACAACACTATGTCAGTAACATACTATGGTACACTTTTTATGCAGTGATGGCTTTAGCTGTGACACTTCTGTGTTGACATAAAATATCTCTTATGAATTTGATGATTTTTCACAAAAAAATATTTAACTGTTAAGGCACATTTTATAGTTCTGTGTCCTATATATTATTTTTTATATATGATTTTATTCAAGTTTTAAAATGACTGACAATACATATTCAATTCAAGTAATAATGTAACATCACATACTGTACGTAGCAGTTCGTTTTTTGTAATGGGTGTTCAGTAAAAACGTCAGTTTATCCGTCATTTGTTTATATTTGTCTGCCATAATTCTCATGCAATTCTAAAGCATATGGAAAATACTTTATTCTTCATCCTATTAATGTCTGCTATCTGTTTTGTCCACAGATGATATGGACACCAACCTGCTATTCTGAGCTTCATTTTGACCTCTATCGACTACACAAGCAGCTTGAGACGGTGCAGCTTGAAGCCTCCATGAACCTCTGTAACACAAGAAACTCGTCTGAAACAAACATATAAAAGAAACAAATTTTTACCTCCTGCTATAAAGGGCAAGTGTTGGTGGTCATTTCTGTTATTTTGTGTCAGACTAAGCTTTGGATCTACAGTATATTTTTTATTTAGACTAAGCTGCGAGAATAAACTTTATTAGAATATAAGAAAGTGTTCTGTTTAGCTGAAGCATTCCAAACTGGGGAATCATCAGCTCATTAGTAGAAAAGTTGTTGTACATAGTACCAGGCTTTAAAATAATTGTGTTTTTTATGTTGGAGTGATTTAGTGCAGAATTACTCTTTAAATCAAGGTGAAGTATCCTTCTACGGTGGGAAATGTAAAACAATAACTATGTTTTTTCTATCTTAGTAGCAAATGCTGTAAATGTTTGTCAGTGCAAATGCGCTTCATTGTAGCTCTAATTAAAGCTTTATGGATAGCAGTGGACTTCACAATATCATGACGTACAGTAGCATAGTTCAGTAATAATGACTTTCCTTACAGCCCTGAAATAAAGTTATTGCATCATATTTGTGGATCCCATTTGGGAAACATCTGTTTATGCTTTAATATCATGTTTTATTAATTGGTAAATTTCCCTGATGCCACCATGACATGAAAATACGATCACTGCAATATTGCTTTTGAGAATGCAAGTCACTGATACCTGGTTAAGGTTTGCCACATAATCATAAATAATAGCCCTCTGTAAGGTAACACAGCAAAAAATAGCCTCTAGCATGGTCATGATGATTACACTGACTTGTTGTTTTGAGACAACGTGCGGGACTCTGATTGGACATTTCTTGGTGATCTCCGAATCTGACGGCCTCTATAAAAGCAAAGAAAGAAACAGCTCTCTACCTGTTGACTGTCTGCTGTTACTGAGATAATGTTCTGCATACTGTGGGTTGTCTTCCAGACCTTGGCTGTTGTGGTGGAGGGTGGTGTGTCTTCAGGGAGTGCTGAGACACTGGCCAATGGGGGAGTGAATAATAACGGAGCTGCAGGTGGAAACAATGCCAACCCTGGGGCTCAAAATGGGGTCCCAATAAATGGTGAACCCCTTGTGGCGCACTTAGTCCAACTTGGCGGCTCGTTTTTTATCCAGCCAGTTGGAAACCAAGTAGGTCAGGCTGCCCTGCGGCAGCTGATTCCAGTCGGAGCTCTCCAACAAGGTGGGGTGTTTCTCGCGGGGCAGGTAGGCACAGCCAATGTGAATCCACAAGGGCAGCTGACTCAGGGTGCCAATGGTGGGCCGGTCACACTGTTTGCTGTGCTGCCACAGAGAAATGCTGGAGGAAACCCACAGGGTGCCATGTTGACTCCCGGCCAAGTGCAGCTGATCCCGGTGGCTGGGTTGAACAACCAGCAACAGCTGGGCGCCTCTGGTGGGAGGGAAGCTGGCAGACTGAGGTTTCAGCGTTCCGTGGCAGCTCGCCTCAGGAGGACACAGTCTCCAGTGATGAAGGCGATGGCGGCTGAAGAGGAGGAGGAGGAAGAATGCTCTGGGATGGAGTTGGAGGGGAAGCAAGCAAAATGAGACCATACAGCTGTCACAGATTTATCATGATTCATTCACTACATCCTGATCCTGCAAACTATGCTGGAATGTTATAAATCATTGTCATTATAACGAATGCCCAATAAATGATGGAAGTCAATGGTTGAATCTTTGTGGTCTTTTTTCAAATTTATCAACAAAATACATGCTTTGCACATTATTTGGAGCCTGAAATATGTGTAAACACTGATAAACCAGTGTCATGGGTGGGACTCCTCTGATGTTATGTATGTACAAATATGCTCAAATTTCTATTTACAGTGCACTGCTTGCATCTAATTACGTACAACATGGTGATTTGGGTCTCTAAATATGAAAAACATCTTGAAACATATTGCTCACATCATCGCAGAACAGATTTGTGTTTGTAAAGAACATTATGAAAATAAAAACATATTTACGAAATCCCACAAAGAATTGTAATTTGTCACGTCATTAAACAGATAACAGGAAGAAAATGTTACTTAATTTGAACTGCATGACAGTGTGCAATTAGTATAAAGCTCCAGACCATACTTCCACAGAGGGTGTTTACCTGGTCTGCTGTGGGCTGCCCAGTCAGCAGCAAAAAAACAAAAATAAAAACCTTTCCCAGACAGCCTCAGTATGTGACAACATACAACCACACTGGGAATAAATGTAATGGCTCTGAACAACTTGAGGAAATGTGCTGATGAAACATGACAGACTAATATCTGCTCCTGTAATTAGGCAGCATCAGAGGTTTTTACAAATTAAAAGCTGTCTGGCATTTCGTGCTCATCACTGTTGAGTTGCGGTGCAATATGAGTAGTTGTTTTTAGGGCTGGTGTGAGAAGAAATCAGCTTGGGACGAATATAAACAGAACACAAATCACAGTGAGGCTTCCCTCCTGACAGGCCCTGGGCAAGTATTTCAACTCTGCACTGTAATAGAGCAGCAGGAAACAATGAAATGTCATTGTGTTTTGCTGAAGTCACAGCCATCTTCTAAGAGTGCTGCTTGTTTGGTAAATGTTTAATTACATATAAGCTGACAGACGTATTTTTTCTCTCCATAAAATAACTTGTTGATGATGTCAGTTATTTGCCTGCTGTGACCACAACCCGCAACATTTAGATGGTTCATATACTGGTTTTTAGTCAGGAGCTTCCAGAAACCTCCACAAAGCCTTCCCAAGACACTGAATCACTCTGTTATTCTTTGAGGTCACTCTTCTGTATTGAGAACAATGTATGGTTGAATAGGGTGAAGTGCTTTTGAAAATAAGCAGCTCAATGTTACATATATTTCTTTAAATCTTGTGCCGTAGAAAGAAGATGTCATATCACACATAGGTTCCCATGACACACAGGTGACAAAAATAGTTTATGATCAAGTCAGTGTTCTCTTCTCTAATTGGCTCATAATAATCTATGGGACTGATAAAAGGTGCTCTGAATTCAGAGAGCAAACTATAGTCCTCCTTGGCACATAACATTTGAAACCAGAACAAAGAATTATAAGGTATGTATTGTGCAATTCAGATATTATAATAGGATTGTTATGTACAATTTAGTTTGGAAATACAAAAATAGTCACGTTCTAACTAAAATCATGCACATATTACCAACAATATTTCGATTTTATGAGTTAAATGTATTTATTTTAATCTTTTTACAAGTTTCAGGCTGCAAAATGAAGCTTCTTCTCCTCACACTTGTAGCAACCATCTGCTATGTGAGCACAGTCTATCTATCTCTATCAATTGATATGATACATGATATCTACAAGCAGTGTGTGTAACTTCTGTCTGTTCTCTTTACTTATTGCAGGTCAATGCAGGCAAGGTAAGAAACAACTACTACTATTCATTTATACATGATTAGTGCATACATCTAAAATTAGATCATGGTTAAAAACAAAAGCTCTTTCTCCCCCTTCACACAGAAACAGAGGATGCTGGCAGCTATGAATGCTGTGAATGGAGGGATGATGGGAGGAATGAACGGAGGTATGAACGGAGGCATGATGGGAGGAATGAACAGAGGGATGATGGGAGGTATGAACAGAGGAATGATGGCAGGAATGAACAGAGGACTGGCAAACGGAGTGAACCCTGGGATGATGGCTGGAGGCCTGAACCCACCTATGGTCGCTGGTGGGTTTATTGGGCAGCCACAGTTTGCTCAGGTGAGTCTATCAGGTTGCCATTTGATTACATCACTTCAACAGCAAAAGCTTTAGGAGTCTTAGATTTCATTAAAATAGTTTAATTTATATCTACTTTAATCGTATAGGTTATAATAGAGAGCAAAGATTAGGAAAAAAATGTATTGACTTAAAATTCATATTGTAAAAAACGAGACAACTTATCAAAGAAATAAGCAGAACTTGCATGGTTTTGCAATGGATTTGGTGAATAACTCTAATCTCACTACAGGATGGCGCTCTCCTGTTGTTTCACTGTTAGGTCCCAGATGTCTTTAGATTGAAAATACTATAATTTGCCACCAATTTGTGCATTATAAACTGAATACAGATTGCTGTTAAGCCAGATAGTGCATGATATGATTTATTAAATTATACAACGATGTGTGCAAAATAATAACAATGTTATAGTACAAAAAACCCCCTATAACCCTTAAAAGAACATCTGTACCCTCTCTCTCCATTTCAAAGTTTGCTCGCGGAGTTCCTGCTTTTGCTGCACCGGCTCCCATTCCCAATGTGTACGCTGTCCCTGCAGTCAATGGGGTTAGTGTTGCACAACCTGTAATTGTGTTAAGAACACACATCTTTTGATATTGTTTCAGGCTTAGAGTAACACACAAAAGCATGGATTTATGTATTTTTTGTCTACTCTCAATATCCTTTCATGGGAGTTCCTCAAATGGCACATGGGAATCCTCCTCAGCAGCCTCTGATGGTAATCAATCACCTCAATCACTGATTCTCAGTCCACAACACACTTTTATTACAGGTTACACGATGATTTGTGGAATTTCAACTTCACTTGAGTCACTAAATCTTGGTGCCTGTGTTTAGGGGATCACAGGCGGTGCCACTCAACAGCAGCTTCCTCTTCAGCCTGATATATTCAGAAGATTCAGGGTATAGGAACAAAGTAAACTTTACTCGATGTGAATACTGATGAAAGATACACCAGCTAATTGTTGTTTTTTGACTCTCCAGCGTCAGGTTATGAAACAAGACAACACCTTAAAGATCACTATGGATACTCAGGTAAGATTAAAGAAGCAGATTTCGGTGGATAATATAATAATCAATGCTGTTCATTCACTCTCTGTTCCGTCTTCAATTTCTCAGATTCCAGCTCCCACAAAATCAACTACCACAACTCCCTGTGACGCAGACCATCACCATGAAGATTATTAACATGACACTATTAACTTTTAATTATCAAAGTGATAATAAAACCTGACTTGTATGATTCTTTCTTTTACGAATGATAATAAGAATGAATCCCAGCAAAAACACAACAACTCTTGATGTGACATGCTAACTGTCCAATCAAATAAATCATATTTCAAATGAAAGTTTGTTTTGTGTAATCCTCTGATTTTACACCAGTGCATTGAAACAATTCAGACAGTTTACCAATAAACCGTGGTCATAATTGCAATATGTGGTGGATCTCTGCTGCCATCTAAAGGATATAAAGTATAATCAAACACATAGCTGAATAATATGCACTGAAAAAGAATCCAAGTTTCAAAGAAGGCCCAAAATAAAAAGAGCTTTTTGGGTTTCACTCACTGAGTTAAAGTTAATTGAAACAGGTGAAGACTTACACACACTAAAACATTTTAACATGTCACAGTACAAAGCACAGGTGTAAATAATTGTCACACTGCCATGGTTTAGAACAGAGCCATCATGAATGTTATCACATTACATTACAGTCATTTAGCAGACGCTTTTATCCAAAGCGACTTACAATAAGTGTATTCAACATAGGTATTCAAGAGAACTACTAGTCACCAGAAGTCATAAGTGCATCTCCTTTTTTTAAACAAGCATCTAAGAGCATAAACCAGAGCCAAAGTACAGTGCAGAAACAAACTAATACATGTGTTTATTAGAAACACCTGTTCTTGTCCTGGTTAGACAAGTCAAAATATCTCCTGTGAAAAAGGCCTGTTTATTACACTGCAGGTTCACAAGAAAGGCATGTGTTAAGCATGGAACAAAAATGCATGGTGCATAAAAAATACCTGCTATAAAATGATAGTTTTTGACATTTAAACTAATGCAGAAGCAGACCAACTTCTCCAGACAGACTCAGACACACAGCTGGTGTAAACTTTCCAGTTTTTTCTGCTGTGTGTCTTGAACATGAATCCCAACTCAGTCAGCGATTAGTGTAATACCCACGATTTACCAATTAGATGCCAACATCAGTCAGCGCATGATGAACAACTTGTGACAAATGTCTAATTATAAGCTTCTGTTTGCCTCTTTTTTTTTCTCATGACATGCCAAAAAAGTATAAGCGCCACACTGGAACATATGCGTCTAAACTTTACATATAAGATGTGTGTTATGTACACAGGTCCCCTAAGACTAAAGCACTGGGACTAAAACACTCAATGGTGTGAAATATTTGTAGAAAACACATAGAATTCAGAAACTTTAGAGGATTGTTAACAGCTTTACGCAGAGTATGTCATGGTGTTTAGAGACATGACCTACACCTAATAACATAGCTACCTGCCCTGTGTTGTAAGAGTCTGAGTCTGATGCCATGGGAAATGTCTGTCACACTGACCGCACATTGTCTGGATTGGTTGGCAGTGGACTATAACAGCTCAAAAGGAACATAATATAAAAGGGATATGGACAGGGTGAGGAGACACAGCAAGGGAAAGCAGAACCAGAGGAACAGTAAGATATCTCAGTGAAAGTTATATTTCTGTCATGGTGAAATATATGGTAGGATTTGATTTTTTTTAAACATACTTTATGTTTGTACCGACTATAGGACATCATGAAGCTGCAGACTGCCCTTGTGTTGGTCTGTCTATTCAGGACAAGTTTCGCTCTTCCAGTGAGTTAAAGTTAAAGTATGTTTCTCATATCTTTCTAAAATGGCAGATATGAAGTGTTATTTTTTTGTGTTTTACAGTTGCAGTTTGGAATTATTGCAAGCAACAGCAATGAGGTAAATATATCTGTTAAAACTTTTATGTTCAATGGTTGCAATGTCAAAATCCCATGTCAATATGGAATCCATCAAATTGAATACAACCCTTTTGTCGGTTTAGATTCTAAGACTGAATGGACTAACTCTTGCAACTCTTGGACAAACACAGGTACTGGAAGTGCATAAAACCCTTTTTGCAATCCTAACAACACTTGTATTGTGTGCCTTCCTTTGTCAGATTAAGAAAGCTTTACATGTGTGGATGGAAACAAAGCAAAAAAACTAAACTAAATGCTTGCTTCTGCAAGTCAATACTTCCCCAGTATTTTCTGCAGCAGCAGCAGCAGCAGCAGCCGGAGGTGCTGCTCAATCCACAGATGGTGAACTTGAACCCTCAAGTGACCAATCCCTTCGGCCCCCAGGGGCCCCAGCTGTTTTTCCCCGCCCAGGGCAACCATTTTATGCCTATGCTCATATCAAACGGCCAGCAAGAGCAGCTTGGACCACCACAGGATCCCAACTCTCCCAATGTTCCTCAGCAGGCCCAAAACCCTTTTCAGGTACAACAAAGCAGCATGTAGATGCAGTTATCCCTTCAGCTGCTGCTCCTCACAGTCATATGGAGAAATGAATAACAGCTTTAAATTTACTTCAGGTGTTTCCACATTTCCAGTACCCGTCTTATGGATTTCCTCAGCTTCCCAGAGAACAGGTATGAAGGAAAACATATTGACCAGTGTGCACACCTCAATATGTTCATTCAAATGATCACTGCTGATTTAAATTGATTCTATCATCCACAGGGCTTTTCGTACTTTTTCCCTCCTTACGGCTATCCTCAGCAGAGGAACAATGTGATGCTGCAGCCCAACAACGGTCAACAGCAGCTGGAGAGAACCACACAGAGACCACAGCTCCCTCTGCAGGTGAGACACGCAAGATGACATGAAGTGGAGCTCTAAGGTGGATGGAGTAGGGTGAAACTCTGAAGAGGGCAAAATTCCATTTGTAGTATGTTCAGTAGAACAACTTTATTGTTTAGACCAACACGTTTCGGCTTCATTCGGGTCATTATAGAGACCAGCACAGAAGTGTTCAGTGCATATTGGCTGCTGAAGAATGTGAAAAAAACCGAGCTACTAAAGTAATTCAAAATATGATTGTGTCTTTATCAACTTCCCTTTTCAACTTTGAATTAAGGTTAAGAACCAGTGCAGTAGACTATTATGACTAACGACAAGACTTAATGATAATAACATAGCTGCAGATGTTGAGTCATGTGCCGTGACTGTGATGCAAAGTCGACTGTCTGCCATATTGACCACACGCTGCTGAAATCATGTCACCTCAGTCACATTTCAGTGTTGAATAAGTGTTAAGCAACTGCTATATCAGCACAGTTTTGATACCTGTTGCACATTATAAGTTTGTTTTGTGCAGATGATGCCTTTTTTGATCTGTTAATGTTTGTGTGTCCGAGAGCCGCTTCAAAAATTAGATGTCGCAATCCTCAAATTTAGAATTGAAAATGAAATACGTAGGTACATACTTAATATATGTATATACGTTGAAATCTTATTTTTCTGCATGTTTTCTTACTTCAGCAGGCTTCCCAACCTAAGGTGCAAACTGAAAAAGTGAGTTCACTCCCTATACTATAACCTCTTCATGTTTATGATTTCACCAATAATCAAGGGAAGAGACAAGAGTGCACCAGTTCAGTCTAATTGCTGTGATTTTGTAACTTTCTATCTCTATCAGACATGGCCACTGGGAACACAGAAAGTGCCTGCTACAGCTCCTCCTCATCCTCGTGGTGACACATCTGGCCCAGGTGTTGATGAGGTATGATTTTATACATTTTTATACATTTTGTTATATGTCACGGTCATTCATGTTGTGCAGGATTTGATTCCGAATATTTCAACAACTATTTTCTTTTATGTTTCTCCAGGGTCAGTCCAACTTCCCTTTCCTCTTCGAGCCTTAGATGCCACCTGGGAAATATCAACAAGGTGATCTGTCAAAAAATACATTTCTGTGTGTTTGGCCACATCACTCATTCTTAAAAATGTAAGGAGAGTGCCATTCCTCTAAATGAAATATGTACTCAATTCTTTTTATATTACTCTGAATTGTCTTGCTCGTGTCAGGAATCCATTCCTTGCTCCTTACAACATGTCAAATAAAGACCTTTCTCAAAGTGATTTGTTTAAGAGTTTTATTTTGGTACACAGAATGTATTCTTGTACAGGTAAATGCTGAGTGATTTCTCAGAATAGACCACAGGAAAGAAAACCGTCATCTTCTTTAAAGTTAGTCAATCAAACTTGTGGTTGTTGGTTTCTTCCTGAGAAAAGTGTGAGATAAGAAAACTTGTCAGCAGCAGTTACTGTCGCAAACTGATGATCAGGAAATTAAAGTTAATCACTTTCACTCTATTAACATCCTCACCTGTTATTGTTGTCAATAATCTTCATCTGGATTGTTTTCCTCTCCAATGAATTTACCAAGGTTCATCTTCAAAAGGAAAAAAGTTGTTTAAATTAAACCACAATGACGAGCACTCTCCAAATTCAACACAATACAAATTGTCAATACTTACAGGTTTGAAAACCCCAAACTCAACTGAGACTTTGTTCTTCAATTGGAAAAAGAGAACTTGTGATTAGCATTGAATATATACAGTGAATATATGTTTTATTTATCTTTAAAAAACATATAAAGTAAAGTAAACATTATGGAGATTACCGGCTCTGTGGCGTTGTAGATGAGCTTGACAAATTGCTAAAATTGAGATTAAGAGAAACAAAAATCACAATGCCATTGTTTTGAATATAAAATCAAATATCAAATCAAGCAAAGCTGCTTGAACAAACCAGCTAGTTTTTTAAAATTATTTTATATTTGACTGAAATTAAAGTTTATACCCCATTCTTCGTATGTCTGTGTCTTCCTCCCTGTAAAAGAAGTACAAATCAATTAGCTAAGAGTCAGAGTTTTGACACTGTAATCACCGCTACAAAGAGTTCCATAATGTTTTATACCTTATGGTGATGATGTCCTCTTCCTCCATGCTATGGATGGATTGTTCGTCATTAGTATTCATGGGTATTGAAAATAATCTTTATGGTTTTTCTTCTGATTGTTTAACTGTAATAAACATTATATTAAAATGAATTGACTTACCTTCGGCATCAGAAATATGTTCTCCCCCTGTAAGATTTTCACATCAAAGGTCAGCGGAATCATAACATTTCATAAAATGGTGTAATTTATAATATAGAATGAATAATTGCTCAATAGATCAAGCCACTAAATCATATTGTTTACCTCCTTCAGGGTTACATCAGTGACATTCTATGGATAAAATGCCACACGGTTAGTTGAAATATAATATCCAGTGTCAAGCCTGTCATTTCAAACATTCTGTATATAATACATTTGTTTTTTAAACTCACAATCTTACCTGAAATGTCACGTTGTCAACCTGAAAAGGAATTATAGAATTATAAGAGTTTTTGTCAACTGTTCTGGTAAATATGAATGTGTTAAGATCTCATTGAGAGAAGAAAGGAAGCCTACCTTGAACACAGAGCAAAACACCTAAAAGAAGAAAGACGTACATCATATTTTGTCATCATGTAGTATTAATAAAAGGGCACAACCAAGATTTTTAATAAAGTTTTTTTTTGTTAAAGCACCTTTCAAGATGCAGTTATTAATGATAAAAGACAAAAGCCACAGATATTGAATACAGACACAAACAAATTTAAATAAAACTAAACACAAATAAAGAGGTGGGTCATGTTAAAATTCATAATACGGTTGTATAAAAAATGGGGGTGAACATTATAAATAGTCATATGATGTAAACTATCCTATAACAGCATTTTGAATGACATCAGGAGTGAACTTAAGACTTTAATGAGGTAGAGACCCAATGTATTACACTTTTGTCTTTCTATTTTCATTTGAGTACAGCTATAATGTCAAAGTGAGCTTACCACTACACCAGGGTTCCTCCTGTTGGGCCTCCAGCCTCCTCTGTGTCTCCCAAATTGCCTGCCGGACCCATGAAGATGGCCTCCAGGCCCATCAGACATGAAACCACGAACCTGTGTGAAGCACAGATAAAGTGCATTATTGTTATGTTATGTATAAGGCAAACGTTAAAGAAGTAGGTTGACATATTGGGAGTCACTCTTATTGGTTTTCTTTAGTAGATAAAGTATGATTAATTTCCTATAGCTTAGTGTAACCAGCTCAAATGTAAAGTAACTTCTTGTTCATACATTTTCAAAAAATCTGAAAAATAGTTTTTACCGGAAGGCCTCACAGATTTCTGTACAAAGCTCTCCTTCGGTCCCAACTATATATTCTTTCAGCCCACATCATGTCTTCTTTTTTGTCAACATCTTAATCAAAAGTGTATTGGCTACATTTTTGCTACCCTCAATATTAAAGTTGTTAAGCATGATGACATCTAAAAGCACTTTTCTAAACAGAAACTTAGGCTGGAAGCTGGGGGAAAACAGGTAGCTTGGCACTCTCCAAAATTAAAACACATTCACCTGCCACCACCTCTAAAGTTCTCTGCTTAACATGTTATGTCTTGTTTGTTTAATGCCTTCACTGACAGAAATGTAAATGTGATTTTAAAGAGGGTTGAATGGTGCAACTATCATTATTGTTTGTGGACTAACAAAACTAAACAAATTCTTGGAAACACAACAAATACAAGTACCTTCCCCAAAATATTTGAATATTCTTTTCATGAGACTACAAAACTGGATAGCAAAAAAATAGCTTAATGTAAATACCAGTTCTTTTCCCAAAGTAGAAGCTTGAGAACGGTGGACAGAGTAACATCCACCTGACCCTTCCTCTCCATCTCCTGGGGCACGTGTCACTGGCTGGTCGCCGTCGCCACGCTGAAAAAAATAGGTAATTCAATGAGAAATAGTTGACATGCAGACGGCAGAGGCTCCTCTTAGTCTACCTGTTAGTCTATTCCCTGTTACCTTAGGGTCTGCATCCAGCTTGGGTCCACCAGCAGGCGGAAGCTTTCCATCCTGCCATGGCTTCCAGGAACCTGGCTGAGCAGCAACCGCTGACAAAAGTAAAGCTGCAATACACAAGAGCTGCATTGCTTCTGAAGAACCTGCAAGAAAATATTAGATAAAATTGAACTCTGAAAATGAACCATACCACTTTAAGCGCTAAAACAGACGAGACATTTCACATTGCAAGTCACTGAGCATCTACCGTAACACTCACCTGTGCTTTGTGTGTGGCCCCTTGTGCATCGATAGCCTACTTATATCAGACATCCGACGTTGAGACACACCACGCATTTCTCAAAACAGCCCATCTTAGTCACACTTATGTGCAACACAACAATTACTTCACACATGGTTTGCTAATGTCTTCTTAATTTAATTTGATCCCTGTTTATTAGCAAAAGTACACAATGATAACAATGGTTAATAATTAATAAATAAAAACTGTGAATAGAAAACCTAATTATGATCATTAATGAGTGTACTACTGTGTAAATCAGGGGTGTCAAACTCAAGGCCCGCGGGCCGAATCCGGCCCGCCACGTCATTTTATTTGGCCCGCGAATCCGCCAGAAAAAAAAAAGAAAAGTAAAAAAAAAAATATATATAAATTTAAAGTTAAACTTGATAATAAAAATATCCCCATAGTCGAAGTTATGAGATAGAAAGTCATAATTATGAGATAGAAAGTCATGATTATGAGATACTTAAACACAACAGTCATAGAAGCAGCTCTTTGACATGGAAATGTATGTGAGTACATTGAAGACTACTTTAAACGTGACTTTACAACAGATGAAATATTTCACGTGGGATTGTGCAAACACACCCTTCAAAGGAGTTTAAGCTTTGAACAAAGTTATTGTAATAACTTGTGTTTGATATTTGTCTTTGCTATTTTCTTTAAAAGTTTGATCTTTGATAGAGTAATGTGGGTTTCTTAACCCTTAATTAAAAGGATTTAAGTTATAATAACAGAAATGTGCTTAAATATATTTTTACATTTATATAACTGCATGTACAATATTTTAACACTTGATTAAACAATAATCAAATGCAGACAGTTATTTACCAATATGTTAGGAGAAGTTACATTTACACAGTCTTACATTTACAACCGGCCCTTTGAGGGCAACCGTGATGCTGATGTGGCCCAGAGTGAAAATGAGTTTGACACCCCTGGTGTAAATGATTTAGTAGAGGGAATAGCAGCAATGAATTTCATCAAACAAAGAGAGAGAAGAAGGAATGCAGGCTTCATTGGGCGTTGCCTGTTACCTGCCTAAGCCACTAAGTAACCTGATTTGTAATAAGACCAGGAATTCATGTTTGACATGTTTTCTGATCTGCCAATACTGAAGAGAGGAGAATAAAGACACTGAACTTACATAACATATAAAATGATCTCTGACTGTACTAAAGATGATATTTAGATTAGAATTTTTACACAAATCCAATGTACTACACTGTATCATTATGAGCTATTAAATGAATGCTACATATCATACGATCCATGTGTTGTTTCTATCTCTGATCATTAGCCACACCTTGAAAGGTGGAGGTGGAAGATTTCCATATTTCCTAATATTTGCAATTTCCCAACAATGATGTTTGCTAATGAGAGGACATCCGGTCCTGTGACTGTATATAAGAAAAGCTCAACATTCAGTACAACAACAACCTCCTCCACCATCTGCAAGAAAGTCTGCTGAAGTTGTAAAGACTTGAAGGTGATAATATGAATCTTTTGTTTCTGTATTTTCTTGTGTGAGGCTGATGGTGATTTAGCTGATATTTTGGAAAAGCTGTTCATCTGAACAAGTCTTTATCCTTTCCTTTTTAACAGGAGAGATCACTGTAACCATGCTGAAGGAAGTATTTGTGCTTGGATGCCTCCTGAGCATCGCTCTGGCTCAGCCTGTAAGTG